AATGGTTAACTGAGGGGGGCTGGAGAAATGGCTCAGTGGTTAAGAGCATTGCCTGCTCTTCCAAAGGTCCTGAGTTCAATTCCCAGCAACCACATGGTGGCTCACAACCATCTGTGAAGACGTCTGGCGCCCTCAACTGGCCTTCAGGCATACAGACAGAATATTGTATACATAATAAATAAATAAATAAATATATTTAAAAAAATGGTTAACTGAGAAGTCAATATGGGTTAAACAATGGCCTTCAACAGAAGACTAACTGCAGGCTTTACAACAGCTGGTACAGGAACAACTAGATGCTCACCATATTGAAGAATCTACCAGCCCTTAGAATTCTCCTGTATTTGTTGTTTTAAAAAAAATCTGAAAAATGAAAATGAAGATCTAAGAGGTTATTCAACCTATGGGCCCTCTAAAATCTGGAATTCCTAAGCCTTCTCTAGTACTAAAAGGATGGTCTCTCATAGTTAATTTAAAAGATTGTTTCTTCACTATACCTTTACAAGAAAATGACAGAGAAAAATTTGCCTTCATTGTGCCTAGTTATAATAATTCTCAGCCTACTAGGAGATATCAATGAACCGTCCTCCCACAGGGAATGCTCCATAGCCCCACCCTGTGCCAATACTTTGTAAGTCAGCCATTGGAAATAATATGTAAGCAATTTACTAAGTCTATAATTTACCATAACATGGATGACATTTTCTATCTGATTCAACTGCAGATACTTTAGAACGTTTGAAGAAGTAAAGAAAGTTTTGCCAAAATGGGGATTACAAATTGCTCCTAAGGGCTGGAGAGATGGCTCAGCGGTTAAGAGCATTGCCTGCTCTTCCAAAGGTCCTGAGTTCGATTCCCAGCAACCACATGGTGGCTCACAACCATCTGTAATGAGGTCTGGTGCCCTCTTCTGGCCTTCAGACATACACGCAGAAAGAATATTATATACATAATAAATAAATAAGAAAAAAAACAAATTGCTCCTGAAAAAATACAGAGATTCTTTCGATTACTTAGGTTATAAAATAGGTTTATAGAAAATTAGAACACAAAAGGCACAAATTAGGAGAGACTGATTGCGGACTCTTAATGACTTTCAAAGATTGTTAGGAGACATTTCCAGTGTACAACCAACTATTGGGATAGCACCCAATCGAATAATTCATTTAAAGAAAACCTTAGATGGTGGCAGAGATTTAAATAGTCCCATGGAATTAACATCTGAAGCAGAGAAAGAATTAACAGTTGTTGAAGAGAAATTACAGGAGGCTCATGCCGATAGGGTGGATCCCAATCTTAATTGCATTCTAGTCACATTGCCCCGAATTTCTCCTACAGGAATTTTAATGCAGAGGGAAGATATTATCTTAGAATGGATCTTTTTACCACATAAACCAAGTGAAAAATTAAAAACTTATATGGAAAAGGTCTCTGAATTAATTATATAAGGAAAATGAGACTTCGTCAATTAGCAGGTATAGACCCAGCAGAGATTATAGTGCCTTTTACTATTGATGAAATTAAAAAATTTTAGGAAGACAATGAACCCTGGCAAAGAGTTTGTGCTAATTTTTTGGGAGCAATTAATAGCAATTATCCCAAATGAGATAGAATTAACCTTATAAATAGAACTACTTGGATTCTTCCCCGAATTGTACATGACACACCAATAAATGGAGACTGTACATTTTATACTGGTGCAAATAAATCAGGAAAGGCAGGTTACAAACCAGAAGATTTAAGCAAGCCCTTATATTCTGTTCAAAAGGTAGAGCTATATGCTATTTTCATGGTAATAAGGGATATTAAAGAACCTCTCAATATAGTTACTGACTTACAATATGCAGAAAGAGTTGTCTTACATATTGGAGGCACTGATTTTAAACTGTATGATACAGAATTGACTTCATTATTCATTCAGGTTCAGGATATAATCAGGAATAGTTTCTGTCCCATATACATAACACACATCTGATCCCATACGGGTCTACCAAGTCCTCTAGCACAAGGTAATGCAGAAATTGATTGATTATTGATTGGAAATGGGCCGAAGGTCTCAGAATTTCATAAGAAATATCATGTCAATAGCAAAGGTTTAAAGAAAGAGTTTTCTATTACATGGCAACAGGCCAAGGAGATTATAAAGAGATGTTCTACTTGCTCTTTCTATAACCAAACACTGCTACCTGTAGGGAGTAACCCAAAAGGTACTCAGAGGAATGAAATCTGGCAGATGGATGTTTTTCACTTTACAGAATTTGGTAAATTAAAATACGTACACCACACCATTGACACTTATTTAGGCTTTCAATGGGCAACTGCCTTGCGCTCAGAAAAGGCTGATTCAGTAGTCTCATATTTATTAGAAGTTATGGCCCTCATGGGTATACCTGCACAAATAAAGACAAATAGTGGTCCAGCATACGTCTCTAAGAAAATGAAACTGTTTTTTGCTTATTATAATATAAAGCACATTACAGGTATATCAAATAATCCTACAGGTCAGGCAGTAATCTTTTCCTGCAGTAATCTTTGAAGTTTCCAGGATGAAGATGGGGCCCCACAACAACCACTCCACCTGGTTGATATGACATCATGATGCTGATAGCACTACTATAAGTACCAGCTGCTCAAGATGGTTCCAACTTGGTTAGCTGAAATGGTGCACCTTTTTACAACATTCTGGCCGGAACTCCAAAGAGGATCCTCAGAAAAACCCTATCGACTATTCAGGGACCATTTGCAATTATACCGGACAGTAATCTTTAAAATGACTTAACCATCATTTTAGTTTTACAGAATCACACAGAAAGAACATCGTCCCCATGTCAGCTGGAAGTAATTTTAGAAGACGAGATGGCCCTTCTCCCAATGAAGTCTGTCTTCAGGGTAGGGGCATCAATTAGGTGTTGATTATTACTGGTATAGGGTTGGGGTTTGGGGTGGAAATTAGGTAGGTTCAGGGATCTTTTTGAAAAGAAAAAGGAGAAAATTGAATGGAATAACAGGTAGACTAGTGTGAGCTTATTCACACTAATAATAGTGAGGAGACTGGAGAAATGGCTGAGGTCAAGAGCACTGCTGCTCTTCCAGAGGACCTGAGTTCAATTCCCAGCACCCACATGGAAGCTCACAACTGTCTGTAACCCCAGTTTCAGGGGATCTGACACCTTTACATCAATGCACATAAAATAAAGTAAATTATTTTTAAAAAAGAAAAAATAATAATAGTGAATAATAAAGTGAATACTTGTGAACTATTATTTATGGGCAATTTACATTGGTATAGATTCTTATATATTGATACAAGTTCAAATTATCTGTTATATTGAATATGTCCTATTTCTTTTCTTTTTTTTTTTTTTGGTTTTTTGAGACAGGGTTTCTCTGTGGTTTTGGAGTCTGTCCTGGAACTAGCTCTGTAGACCAGGCTGGTCTCGAACTCACAGAGATCCGCCTGCCTCTGCCTCCCGAGTGCTGGGATTAAAGGCGTGCGCCACCATGCCCGGCCGAATATGTCCTATTTCTGTTTAAATATTTGTACACATATACAAAGTTATTCTGTCAGATTGGAAACATGCATGTTTCTACCTCTGTTTAAGACATTTTGTATATTGATACAATTTTAGAATATAGTTATCATATTGCATTATATATTTCTACCTCTCATCAAGATACTTACACACTGTTTACATTTTTAGGTCATTGTTCTCATTTACTGCACAATTTAAAGATTGTTTAATATTCTAATATGAAGTTTTAGTTTTTAAGTTATAGAGGTATTAAGTATTATAGGTTAATAGTTATTCATGTTTGTCTTACTTATAGTTAGACTAATCAGGTTCTTTAGATACACAGAGATTACATTCTGCATAGATAGATATTCTTCAATCACTTCAAAGATCTGTAGAGCATGGCATTTAAATACTTAGGGTTCTGTTGATGTGAGACACAATTGCTCCTGGCAGCACCGATCTATTCCTGAGACAATGTTGAGCACCAAAGACACTCTACTTGGATTTTATTTCTTCTTGGCAAAACTGGCCTTTGAGCAAGGAACTGCCCATGCCTCAACCACTGACAAAGTGCACGAGTCCAAACAGGACAAGCAGGATACAAGAAAAAATACTGTCAAATCTTGCCAACACAGGTAAGTTTTGAAAACTTTTCCTGCCTCTGAAAATGATCTGTCATTTACTGTAGGCCTTAGCCAAAGTTGGTTGCTCCAACATTGCAAATGAGACTTTGAGTGATTGTCCAGGTAGCCAGTTGTCTCTGTACATTTTAGAAACTGCCTGATTGCACTTCCTGCCTACTCAAGTAATATTGTCTCCCTTCTCAGGCCTTCGATGAGGTGGAAGATTAGATAGTTGTAGTTACTTTCCTCTTACGATTTAGTCAAGCCATTTCTAATATAAAACTTAGACCCCTTAGGAAAGAATGATTATTGAAACATTTAGTAAATGTTCCTTGCTTAATATTGTTTATGCTGGTTGCAATTTTAATTTTTATACTTGATATCTGTTCTTATTGTATATAGTGTTGTATTGGGTTTAGAACTCTCTCACTTAGACAAAAGGTGGGGAGATGATGGGGAACCTCCTTCAGCCAATGGCTTTTGAGAGGCTGGACCAGGTTGAGGTGCGGCTTTGGGTACCAAAAAGCCATGGTCCGGCCCACTCGCCTTTCTCTTCCCGTGCTCCATACCTGGATGTTGGACCTCCATTCCTATTCCCTAAGTTTTCCCTTTTAATAAAGAAAAACCTTAGTACACCCTATTTGGAGCTAGAATGGGATTATTTGATTGGCATTCCCCCCATCTGACATGTTCTGATGCATTCTGCTTCAACAGAGAGAAACCTGTCCCAGGCTTTAGGCTTAGGTCAACCTCTGCAGGATCCACTCCAGCCAGGTGCAAGGCAGAGCGGGGACCCACACTTACCCCCACACCCCCAGCTTCTATAAGACATCAGGGAAATAAGATGTCTCCAGCTTTGAGCTGTGTTCCAAGAAGGTTTATTAGGATTCCAGGGCCAAAAGCATACGCACAGGGAAGCAAAACCATCCCAGCTCAGCAGGGCTGACCACCCATGGGCATGGAAATGTTCCTGCCTAGAGCAAAACTGATGCACCCCCCTTTGCCCTGTAAATGTCCTGAAAGCAGGGCGACCTCTCCAGGGAAGACAAGCACACCAGAGGTTTCCAAACGTGTCCACAGCCCACGTTCATCCTCCCGTTCCTCAGACTGTCTGTCTGCTCTGTGACCTCAGCCAAGACGGGGGACCCACATCTGTCAGAGCCAGGGTTCGCCGCAGTGCAGCAGTCTCTGCCCACCCCTCATGCCTGATCGATCACTAAAGTTTGGCACGAATAAATCCCAGCAGGCTCTCCAGCTGATCTTCCAGGCACTGCTCATCTCCATGGTTCTCAATGACCCAGTCAAAGCTCCCGAAGTTGTCCAGGCCACACTCTGACTCGGCATCATCCACCCCTGGTGGAAAGAGCAGAAGAGTCAGGCCCCAGTCCTGCCCATACCAGGCACCCACCCTGTGCCTCCTCTCTGAGAACTTCTGCAGTTCCGCTCTGGCTTCCCACCACCAGCTGAGCTCCCAATCCCTGGAGAAATCACTCTGCCCTTGCTGCTGCCTACAGAGACTGGGTCATGAAAACAACAGACTATCCAAGAGGGCTTCACACTGTCAGGGCAAGCTAGCTTGTGCTTGACTGGGGCCTGCTGGGAGGCTGTGTCCTCAGGGTTGGAAGCAGAGTGAGTGTGGCTCCTCCTCCCACTCTTCAGAGCCTTGAGAAAGAGCTTGGCCTTTCTGGACCAAAGCCCTCATCTGCCATGAGTCCAGAACAGCAGCATCCTCGTGGCAGCTCTAACAGTGAGTGAGTAAGAGAAAGTGTATACAGCGCCAAACACATGCCGGGCACACTGGGCAGTGCTCGCGCACGCCTTTAATCCCAGCACTCGGGAGGCAGGGGCAGGCGGTTCTCTGGAGGTTCAAGGCCAGCCTGAGCTACAAAGCAAGTTCCAAAACTGGCTCCATAACTACGGAGAAACCCTGTCTTGAAAAACCAAAACACATCAAACACAGGCTGGCCTGCCAGAGCGTGCAGGAGATGCGCTGATAGTAGCGGTCACGATCATTAGATCTGAGTGTATTGCTGGGCTTGAAAAAGAAAAATCTGAGCGTATCCAAGGAAGAGTGATCGGGGGCAGGGCAGAGGCCTGAACAGAACTTCAGAACTGTCTGCAAAACAGGTCCTGAGCAGCCACCACCGAGGCCCTGGAAAACTTCCTGGCTGCCCCTGATCTGTCATTAAACAGAAGCAGGGTTTGTTCAGCCGGCTCATAGTCACCCTTAGCCCCCACCAGGTTGGAAAGCAAAGTCTAAGAGCCACAAGAACAGGGCCTGGCCAGAAGTCTACTGGCCTTGACACAACAGTCTAAGAACAGCCTGGGAACCTGACCTGCTACCAACCCACCCCTCAGGCCTCAGATTCCCCTTCACGAATCCTCACCCGCTCTCTAGGCCTACTAGGGAGTGAGCAGCAGACCTGGAGCACAGAGGTGGCGGAGCTGAGTGTTGAGCCTCGAGGTTGAGTGCCATCTGCAGCTTACCTGATGTGAACACCCAGCCCCGCTGCTGCCGGGTCTGCTCCGACGCTACAACTCGGACTGTCTGTGTTACAGTCCCATAGACCTCCTGAAACCACTGGATGTCAGACACCCTCCGTGTGTCACTCACCAGCTGTAGAGAAGAGGTAGGTGACCATAAGGACAAAGTGTTGGGGGGGGGGGGACACAGGGGCACGTGCTATAGACGCCAGAGAAATGGTGCAGCTCACTGAACACACACCTCTAAGTATGAGCACCTGCCAGGCAGTTCCAACTCAGCTGTGGCACTAAGGGGCACTGCCAGCACTTACCATGGCACTGTGCCAGGTACTGAGGATGAGTCATAAACAAAACACACCTTGCCCTGCTCTCTTAGCTCTGGCTCATACCATACAGCAGGCGAGACCAAAGATACACAGCAGCTTCTCCAACAACCAGGGACCCAGAATGGCCAAAACAGCTCCTCAGCTCCTGAACTCTCCAATCCTGACCCTTCCTGTCTCAGAAAATGACTTGTCTAGCTGCTCCGAACAAAATCCTTGCCCTCCACCACCCACCCCGCTCCTGCTGGCTCTATCCTTAAAATCCATGTAAAAGCGGCCCCTTCCCAAATCTCTCACAGCCCCGAGCTCCAGCCACTCACTGGCCTGTCACCTGGGCCCCTCTACCAGGCCTCTCTGCCTCCAGCAGCCAGAGCAAGTCTGCTAAATCCTTTGGTTTTGAGACAAGGTCTCACTATGTAGCCCTGCCTGGCCTCAAACTTGCTAATGCCCCTGATGGGATTACAGGCATGCATACCACACCTAATAATCCCAGGTGTGTGTGTGTGTCTGTGTACAGTGTGTATTAATGAATGCACATCACATGTGTAGACAATGTGTAGTATAAGCCTGTGTATATATGTACATGTGTGGAGGCTAAGGTTGGTATTGGGTGTCTTCCTTGATCATTCTCATGCTCACCTGCCTTTTTGCTGAGTGGTGGAGGCGCATACCTTTAATCCCAGTACTCATAAAGCAGAGGCAGGAGGATCTCTGTGAGCTCAAGACCAGCCTGGTCTACAGAGCAAGTTCCAAGACAGCCAAGGCTCCACAGAGAGATCCTGTCTCAAAAAACAAAAACAAAATAAAACACAAAATTAAATACAGTGTGTGTGTGTGTGTGTGTGTGTGTGTGTGTGTGTGTGTGTGAAGACAATTCAAAGGGGTCAGTTTTCTTCTTCCACCATGTAGGCTCTGGGGATCAAACTCAGGCCTTCGGGTTTGGAAGCAAACGCCTTTGCACTGAGATACTGCACCAGCCCCCACCTGGCTTTTTTAATGTAGGTTCGGGGAAATCTAAACTTTAGGACTTTGTCTACTGAGCCATCTCCCCAGCCTCAGGTCCTCAACCACACTCCTACCAACAACTATCTCCAGATACTCAAACATGCTCTACCACTGCCTAAACCCCAATCTGCCTTTTAATTCCTAAACTGTGTCTTTCCTCTTCTCAGAACTCTCCAGTGACTTCTAGACTCTTCCAAAGCCTTACAAGTTCTGCCTTTAACCTCCTACAGCCACTACAATGGCTGTTTCTCAAACAGGCCCCTCTCCAGTCTTCACATTCCAGCCCCTTTCCAGAAAGCAACTCCCCAACTACCCATTCAGCTCACTCCTTCACTTCCTTTAGGTCATGCTCCAACCTCACCTTCTCTGAGGCCCTTAAATAGCAGGTTTCCCAGCCCACACCCCATCTGTCTTGATCTGCTCTGCCTGGCATCATCTATCCTTGCTCAGTACCTGTCTCCCCAACTCCTAGCTGAAACACTAAGTTCTTTGAAGGTAGAGTCTTCATTGCACTCATTTTGCTCCAGGACATCCTCATAACCTGGAGAGGTGTCTGGCACAGGGAAACACTCCGCAGTTAGCACACGAATGAATAAGGAAAGCCCAGCATAGAGTGCTGTGGGCTACTTAAGACCTGGGGATGTGGAAACAGAAGGATCAGGGGGGGCTCAAGGTCATCTTAAGGCCAGCCTGGGCTATATGAGACCCTGTCTTAGGAGAAGGGGGTGGGAATAATAGGTATCCAGGAAGCCTTCTCCATGGAGGTGACTTGAAAATTGTTGGAGTAAAACAGGTAAAAAGGGCAGGAAAGTGTTGTGTGATATTTTGTTTGTATTCTGACAAATAAAGCTTGCCTGGAGATCAGAGGGCGGAGTTAGTCACTAATTAACCACAGAAGCTGGGCAGTGGTGGCTGGCATCTTTAATCCCAGCACTCAGGAGGTGGAGACAGGAAGTGATAAGGTGGGGTGTAGACAGGCTCTCGGCCTTTGGGATGCAGGAAGGAGACAGGTAGGAAGCAACTGGCGGCTGCTCCCGGTTCTCTCACCTTCCAGGTTTTTATTGACTAAGATTACTTAGACTAAGGCTTCAGCAAAGGGCAGGCAGGCAGGAAAAAGACACAAAGTTGTGACCCACCAGGCATGGTAATAGATACATTTAATCCGAGGCCATCCTAGTCTACAAAGTGAATTCCAGGCCAGCCAGGGCTACAGAGTGGGACCCTGTTCAAAAAAAAAAACAAAAAGAACAAAAAGGAGAAGAAGTAACAGCATCATTGGCAAATGATTGTGGCCAGGCAGTGATGGCACACACCTTTAATCCCAGTACTTAGGGAGGCAGAGGCAAGCAGATCTTTGTGAGTTCAAGGCCAGCCTGATCTAAAAAGGAGGAGGAGGAGGAAACAGCAGCAGCAACTGGTGGCTATAGCTGTTAGTAGGGGAAAGGATGAAGGAACTGCATCAAGGCCCCAAAAGTTATGCGAAAACTTGGGCTTAGTTCAGGGGAGTGGTGGGGGCCACCAGTGCTTTCTAGGTATGCCAGGAACATACAGTTTACTTTTGAAAAAGTCACTCAGGCTTTTGAACAGAAATGGCTCACGGAGGCAAGAGACACCCACAAGAGAACTATTGAAGTGTTAGAGGCTTGGACACAAGGTGCCAGTGAAGATGAGAAATGGCCACAGGAGAGGCCTGGAAAGACAGATTTTGTCAGCCATGGCTGAGGCCTCTTACCCAGATAGGCTGGGACACGCCTTCCACAACCTTCCGACAAAAGAAGCCTGGGTCGGCCTGGCGCTTCTCCTCTCCCCAGCAGATCATGTCCCTTCGATAGGCTTCCTTGTAGGTGCTGGCATCCAGGAGTCGCTGGAAGTCCAAGCCATGCTCCTGCAGGAAGCATAGTCCATCTATGACACGGTCCTTAATGGAGAAGAACCAGTCCAGCCTGGCACCGCTTCCCTTCACAGGCACCAGCCAGCTTGGAGCATAACAATGGCCGCAAGGAAGAGGGCTCAGCAAAGGGGCACCCGAGACACTCAAAGCTGAGAGCTCTTAGGATAATTCCAGAAAGTGTTTGAAACGTGCAATGTAGTTTTTCTCTTCCTGGGGTTTCATTTTCCCAATTATTTCTGACTTAAACTAATCTTGAAAATAGTTTGCATGCCCTGGGCACAGCCTTGGCCTACAACCAAAGCAGGAAACTCGGGAAACCAAAGCAAAGCATTGCAATGAGAAGTCCTGTATCCTTCCAGCATCATCTGCCTCCATTGCAAACCCCAGAGATATATCTCCCCCGCCCCTCATCCTTCTCTATCCCCAAGGTCCTGGCACTTGGCTGAAACAGCATCACTCCATTGGGCTCTGGGCATCCAGAGGACCACTTGGGCAGGGGGGGATACCCTGACCCCCAGGGAACTGCTTCTAGCCCTGCCCTCCCCTCCCCTTTCCAGAGACAATGACCAGCAAAGTGTCCATCCAGATGGCTCCAGAACAGGAAGGATTCTCAAAAATATCACCCAGAGCTGGGTGGTGGTGGCACACACCTTGAATCCCTGCACTCGGGAGGCAGAAGCAGGCAAATCTCTGAATTTGAGGCCAGTTTGGTCTACAGAGCAAATGCCAGGGCAGTCAGGTCTATACAGTAAAACCCTAGCTAGGAAAAAAAGAAGAAGAGGAAGGAGGAGGAGGAAGAGGAGGAGGAGGAGGAGGAGGAGGAGGAAGAGGAGGGGAGGAGGAAGAGGAGGAGGAGGAGGAGGAGGAGGAAGAGAAAAAAATAAAAGCACCCAGAGGACCTGGGTTCAATCTCTCACCCTCACACAGTGGCCCACGAATGTCTGTAACTCTAATTCCAGGCAATCCAATGGCCTCTTCTGGCCTCCAAGAGCACCAGGCACCAAGTGGTACATAGATCAGGAAAAATACTCGTACATATAAAATAATTTTTAATTAAAAAAACTATCTAGTTCATGTGCTGGTTCCCTTACTGACTCGATGAAGAGAAACCCCCTCTCCTGGGCTCTCAGTGGGTGAGCAGCCCTGCGTGTGAACTGTTTCTGCTCAGGAGCATCCTGACCCACCGCGCCACTGCTGTTTCCCACAAACCAAGGAAATCAATGTGTCACGAGGTTCCCTTAGGGGTTCTAGGCACTGGGGGGCACTGCTGCAATGGTGTTGAGCCAACCGACATCAAGGGCCAATAGGCCCTCTGGGCCCCTATGGAAGTTTCTGAAATGCCAACTCCTGAGTCTGGGGATATTATAGGTCAGTGGTAGATCAGAGTACTTGCCGAGTGTTTCTGAGGTCAACAGCTCTATCCCCAGCACTAAAGAAAAATAAACTCCCTTCCTCCAGCCCCCACTGTCAGCAGGCCTGGGGCTGGAACCAAGCTTGAGAACTTCAGAAGCAGACAGGGGGTTTGAAACTGTGCCTGGGCCACACTGAGGAGGGCTACAGCCCCGCCTCCCCCTCCTTTCCTACTCCTGGGCTAGAGGAGCTTCTCCATCCAGCTTCTCCCTAAGAAATAAGGACACCTCTGCATCTCCTTACCCTGTGGTCCCTTAGCTGTTGCCCTAGGACTAGGTCAGCAGAGCTGGTAGAAGTCTGAGGAGCCAGGACTGCAGGTCCAGAGATTAGACCAAGGCCACCCGAGCACAGGTCCCTGGAAGGGTACACTAGGACCAGCAACAAATGTCAGTGACGAAAGGCTTCATTGTGTGAAAACATGACCTTGCCCTGTGTGCTTGCCCTGAATCTAAGTCTACTTAATTTTTAATCCTATTTTAATAATCAATAATCTTATTTTTTCTATCCACATGATTTAAAATTCAAAGGAGGCCAGACTTGGTGATACACACCTTTAATCCCAGCACTCAGGAGGCAGAGGCAGATGGATTTCTGTGAGTTTGAAGCCAGCCTGATCTACAAAGAGAATTCTAAACCAGCCAGAGACCCAGTTTCAAAATAATAATAGTAAAATAGCGACAACCAAAATCCAAAAGAGATGTGTTCATTTATAATAAAAATCTCTTTTGGGCTGGAGAGATGGCTCAGTGGTTAAGAGCATTGCCTGTTCTTCCAAAGGTCCTGAGTTCAATTCCCAGCAACCACATGGTGGCTCACAACCATCTGTAAAGAGGTCTGGCGCCCTCTTCTGGCCTTCAGGCATACAGACAGAATATTGTATACATAATAAATAAATAAATTTAAAAAAAAAAAACTATTAAAAAAAAAAAATCTCTTTTCTCCCATCCTCCCCTCCCTGAGGCAGCTAACACTACTGTTCCTATGGTGTCTCTTCTAGTAGGGCAGGTCTGCCTTCCTGGCAGCTGGAACAGTGCTCAAAAGGACAAGCACGTCATAATATGTACTTGAAGAAGAGCTGGATATATGAGCAAATAATGCCTATCTTTTCTTTTTATTCCCTTTTTTTTTTTGAGATATTGTCTCACTCTGTAACCTTGACTGGCCTAGAACTCATTTTGTAGACCAGGCTGGCCTCAGATTCACAGAGATCCACCTGCCTCTGCCTTCTGAGTGCTGAGATTAAATGCATGCACCACCATTTATGGTCCTGATTCTCAGTTATTAGTATGGTTTGTCCCTAGTATGGTGGTATTGGATAAGGTGCCTCAGGTATTGTGGCTCTCAGGATTAATGAGCTCCCGCTCTTGTAAGACTGGACTGGTCACCCTACATGTAGGTTACTATAAAAAGGATCCAAGCCTCTCCCCTCCTACAGCGTGATCCTTCTTCTGCTCACTGATCTTCCACCAGAAGCTAATTAGATGCCAACACCACGTTCTTGGGTCTTCAGAACTTGAGTTATAAATCCTTTTTCTGTACAAAGTACCCAGCCTCAGATATTGTGTTAGACAAAAACCAGCTGCCTAGGGCAGCAACACACTGCTCTGTAGCTTGGTGTCTGCGCACTTGTCAACACACCTTGCCAACTCACCAGAGGGGGAACAGGTGTGTGCACATATGTGCATGCATCTGGAGGTCAGACATCACCCTCCCCTCGGGTGCTCGTTCACCTTGGGGCTTTATTTGAGCTGACCGGCCTGTAAATCCCAGGGATTTGCCTGTTTCTGCCTCCCCACTGCTGGGATTACAAGTGTGCATGGCCATGCCTTGCTTTCTACGTAGGTAGCAGGAACTCAGGTCACAGCACTGTCTCTGCAGCCCCTGAGAGTTCCAGGGTTGCATCAGGTCAGCTGGTGGGAGAGCGGAGCGGCACATTGCGGTTTTAAGTAAGAAGGCGATAATACGGATCCTTGCTGGCATGGCGGGCCAGTCTCGCAAGGAGTAGCTCCTCTAACTACAGATCCTTATAAGTTAATATTATTATTATTATGTGGCGTCAGAGCTGCCAACAAGTGTCTGCGGCTTTCCTGGACCCTTTTTCTTTTTTGTTTGTCTCTTCTACAGGTAGGGTCTCATATCTAGGGTCTTGGGTCGCTGGGACCATGCCAGTGACTCAAGCAGCAGCCACAACTCCACAACCCAAGAGCAGGATCCTCCCAGCCCCCCAGATGCCACAAGCCACCACCTACCCGAGCATACTGCTCCTTGAGTGGACCAGAGAGCCGCAGGACCGCACAGATGTTACCTCCAAGTCTACGGGACAGGGAATCAGAACCCAGTTAGCCCTACGCTGCCAAGAGTCTCCTGTGTCTAGAAGGGGAGCCCAGTACCTCTGATGCTCATTTCTACTGTAAGACTCTATTGGGCAGGTCTCCCCTTCCCTGATCCTCTTTGCTCAGTTATAAAAAAAAATTAACGAAGATAACATCACCTGCCCTGTCACTCACACAGGATTACTATGAGAGTCAGCTGAATATAAAGGAGCCCTGAAACTAGCAGGTAGAACAGATAAATAAGTCCCATGGAAAACTCCAGGCCTGGCGATATTCTGGCTGGATCAGATGACTGCTGGGACCCTAAACTCACTCTCTTCAGAGTCACAGAGACGCTGAGACAAACTGACTGAAAATAGTTTTCCCTTTAAGTTACTCAGTAACTCATCAACCATGTACTGGGAGCTACACTTGGATCCAACACTAGGAGTCACAATTTCTACCTGGCATGGGGATGTTCACAGCGTGCGCAAGCACCTATACGGTGAAGTAGGTGCGTCCGCTCCCTCCTTTTTCTGATGTGTGTGTGTGTGTGTGTCTGAGGACGACTTTCAAAAGTCACTTCCCTACTTCCGTCATATGAGTTTCAAATCAGGCTTGACAGCAAGTGCCTTTACCTGCTAAACCACCTCACTAGCCCACGTTCCACATTCCAGATGAAGACACTGAGGCTGAGTGAAGAAAGTTAACTAAAGTAACATTTGTTAGTAATGAAAACGCAATTAAAAATGAGCAACACTTTATTCCTGGCTAGGAATCATTGTAGCTCATGTGTTAATGCATTCAGTTCCTCTAACATCCTATATAACACCCGTTTAGCAACAGGCAATCTAGAACAGACCAGGTAAGAAGTCTGGCAGAACACACTAAATGCTGAGCCAGGACATGAACCCCAGCAGCCTAATGCCAGCATCCGGGCTCCTGACTTGCTCTCTGACTACGCTTGGAGCTAAAGACTGATGAAATTTAAAAACTGATGATGACTGTTTAGTAATAAAGGATCTGGGTAACGGCCTCTGGCCAGGGCTCCTCTGAACCTCTTAGAACAACTGGGGTAGCTAAAACTTGGTGCCACCACCACATTGGTCTTAGAGAAAAGCCCCACTTTTCTTTCTCCCTCTTCTCTGTTCTCCTAGCCCAAGCCCCAGCCCCCCCCCCCCACCAAAAAAAATGTTCCCTAGAATATATCACTTAAGAAAAATCCAGGGCTGGGGAAATCCTGATGACCTTGGTTCAGTTCCCAGAACCCATGTTTTTAAAGATGGATGTGGGCCAGGCATAGAGGCACATGCCTTTAATCCCAGTACTTGCTGTTCTTACAGACCAAGGTTCCATTCCCAGCAGCCACACAAAGGCTCACAACTGTCTGTAACTCTAGTTCTGGGGATCAGATGCCCTCTTTTGGCCTCCAAGAGCACACACAATGCAGACACACCTTCAAGCACAACACATACCCACAAAATAAATAAACCTGTAAAAACAAATAACTATAAAGGATGGACAGAATGAGTGAAAGGTATTGTTTGGAGGCAGACAAAACTCAATTTGAATCCTGAATTTGCTACTTTATGACCCCCGTAAATACTTTTGTTGTTTGTTTGGATTTTGGTCTGTTTGTTTTTAGAAACAGGGTTTCTCTGTGTGTCCCTGGCTGTCCTGAAACTCACTCTGTAGAACAGGCTGGCCTCGAACTCATAGATCTGCCTGCCTCAGCCTCCTGAGTGCTGGGATTAAAGGCATGCACCACCACTACCCAGCTTTGAACTTTTTTTTTTGTTTGTTTGTTTTCTCTTTTTTCCCTCTGTAACTTTGGAACCTGTCCTGGAACTAGCTCTTGTAGACCAGGATCACAGATCCGCCTGCCTCTGCCTCCTGAGTGCTGGGATTAAAGGCATGTACCATCACCGCCTAGCAACATTTTTTTTAATAGTCAAAAATCTCCTCCACTTTGGCCTTGAACTCCTAGGTTCAAGTGATTCTCCTGCATCAGCCTTCCCTGCAGCTGGATTACACACACACACACACACACACACACACACCACGTTTTAGTTCTTAGGGCCCCTGCTTCTGCATTTCTCGAATTGCTAATAACTTGACAAAGAAGCTATGTGGGTTAAATGCATAGTGCCTGGCATAGAATACCCATCAATCCCTGCAATTACAAGGTCTTCTGGACAGATTCTCTTTGGAACGGTCCCACTCAGGCCGTGGGTCTTTTTGCTGTCACTTTAGTCTCCTTATCTGTACCAGTTACCTCAACACGGTCGTGAAACAAGAATGACACACTGAAGATGCCTGGTAGTAATCGTAATTGGTGTTTCTTGAGGAGAGACCAACAGCTTCAGAAGTCTGCAGAGGCAGTCCCCGGGTTCTCTGAGGAGGTCGTGTGCAGGCTGCTGTTTCTCTGCGGTGAGGATCTACCACCTACCGTCTCCTGCCCTGCGTCATCCCGCCCTGTCCCTCCTGCCCTGGCGAGCCCTCTCCATCATGCCCACCACTTGCGGTAGCGCCCTTCCTCCAGCTTCCCTGAACCCGCGGACACCTGCTCTGCAGCGCCTCGGTCACGAAGTCCTTCCCGGATTTTCTCTTCCCGCTAAACAGCAGCACCAGCCGCGGGGCGCCTCCGAGAGGGGCCATGGGGTCACCACGCTTCACCAGGCCTAAAGCTGACACTTCGGACCCCTGAATTCCAGCCAAGCACGAAGTGGACACATCCAGTAGGAGCAGAAGGGAGGAGGTACCCCGCACCCTCTCCGCACCACTTAGCCCAAGTCGAAACCGCGCGCCGAGAAAGCGCTAGAGAAGGCGGAAAGGAAAGAGCCTCGCGTCCCCGTATCTAGGAGCCCACCCCCAAACAGCACGCACTTAGAACCGTCCAGCCCCGCCCAGAAGTGACGCCACGACCCCGCCTCCTCGGCTGACAGCCTGAGCCGAGGTAGCCGCTGCGTGGGAAGATCGGCCTCACATTCGCTTCCTCACAGCCCTGCAAACGGAAAGAAAAAAGAAACATAGTAATGTTGAAGGCATTTTCAAATCTGCGTCTTTATTTGTGCGTTAGAATGCACGCTCTAAAGCAAGTATGTGTCTGGCCCACACTAAACTCTTTCCAAAGAAGTAACCAGACGATGACACGATGGGGTGTGTTTCGTGATGTCATGGCGAGGGAGGGGCTTAGTAGAACGCAGGCTATTTCGTTGTTGAACAAGTTTTGTAACTGCAGAGGCCGCCTGCGAGAGCAACCACATTCTTCTCTCCAAAGGTTTTTGGAGCATCGGTGACAACAGCAGTATAAGTTAGGGGCTCTGACGCCACCCTGAAGAAGATTGCTCAATTTCCTCCAGAGGCCAACATCCAACCAGGAATTGAGAGGCAGAATTCAGGGTGCTCTGACACCCTCTTGCTGTTGTCTGTAGATGTAATTTACTGTCCTGCATTTTTCTGAGCTTGTCAAAATAGAGCCTGCAGCCCATGACTGCCTCAATTTCATAGACTCTGTAAAGTCTTGCGAAGACCAAAGTGAAGCATGAAACCTCAGGAAAAAATTCCTTCCCTGTATATTAGAAAGAGGCACGGGGATGGCGAGATGAATCGGCCCTTGCAGAGCGCCCTCCTGGCTGCTCATAACCTGCTGTAACTCCAGCTCCAGGGGACCCAACGCCCTCTTCTAGCCTCTGTAGGAATTGCACGCGTGTGGTACACAGACAACACATAAAGATAAACAAATCACTTTAAACTAAAGAGGAACAGGGACTTCGCGGATTTGGGCATAGCATAGTCAAGTGCAGAAAAAGCAGACTCAAGACAGTGCATCACTATGCTCACGGCGGACATGCCCCTCAATTGGTAGTGCTTGCCTAAGTGATGACCTGCCCTAAATAAACTGTGTTTGGTGCCTGTAATCCTCGCTAGTGCCTGCCAGAGATGGAAGCAGTCAAGTTCAGGCCAGCCTGGCCACAAACAAAATAAAGAGAAGAAAGTGAGAGGTTGGGGAAAAGGGATATAGAGGAAACGTGGCACTGAAAAGTTTCTGTACCCCGATAATCCTCTCTGTTATGCCCAAATCTGCGAAGTCCCCGCAAAAGCCAACAAGAAAACCGAGTCCCACATGTAAAAGCAAAGAGCCTTTATTTTAACTAAGTTTGCAAACTCAGTCTCTCCGCATGTCTAACGTATTAGAATAAACGAAGAGCCCCGACCGAGCTCAGTTAGAATTGGATTTTATAGTAATAAAGGTGGGGGTGAGGGGTCTCTGAGGTTTAGGACCCCTGATTGGCTGACATTTGTCTAGGGTGTCCTGGTGAGTGTGTACTGGCTGGTGATCCTATCTACAGCGGTTGGAATGTTAGGCATTTCCTTTAATAGTCTGTTCTTGGGCAGTGGTCAGGTAATCTCAGATTGTGGTATTTTCCTGCTACCAGGCACTGCTTCAGGGTAAACTCAGGCCTCTTGTTAAATTTATCTATGGCAGGTGATAATGGTTGGAAGTAAAGAACTTACTTGGGGTGACCTGCCCATAGTTAGCTTATCATGGCTGGCCCCCACATTTCCCCCTTCACAAGCACCGATTGATTACAGGACCCAATCTTGGGTCCTGCTTGCCCCTGGTTTTAAGAAGGCATGAAACTACTTAAATTAATTGACAACTCTTTAAAAATAAACAAACAAACAAACATTTCTTTGGACCCCACTGAAAGCCAGCTTTTACCAAGCCAACCAAGTATATACAGGGTTAAGTCACTCCTGGTCCTCCAACTCTGGGACTCTGACAGCCTCTCTGGCCTTCACAGGTACTGCAAGCATATGGTGCCCAAGCATATACGCAGGCAAAACACTCCTACACATAAAAGGAAACAAGAGGCTGAGAGACTTGTCTCAAGGTCTACACCTCTAAATAACGGGACCAGCTCTGTCTGGTTCCAAAGCCCAATGTTTTCCAGGCCAACCCACCTCATGGCCATGCCTGTTCAGCCTCCACAGCCAGGGCTATCCCTTCCCTCTTCTCCCCCAACACTACATTCAGGTTTTCCTGGGCTGCTGGATAGCGTATCAAGTGGCGCCAATGCAGGGTGAGTGGGGTGGTAACCCAAACGACTAGTCAAGGGATGAAGGACCCCTGGGCACACACCTTTAGTCCCAGACTCAGGAGGCCGAGGCAGTCAGGGAATTTGGGACCACCTAGGTCTACAGAGTTAATTCCAAGACACTCAGGGCTGCATAGAGAAAGTCTGTCTCAAAAAACAACAAAACATGGGGGCTGGAGAGATGGCTCAGAGGGTAAGAGCACTGACTGCTCTTCCAGAGGTCCTGAGTTCAATTCCCAGCAACCACATGGCAGCTCACAGCCATCTATGAGGAGATTTGGTGCACTTGTCTGGCATGTAGGCAGCACATTATATACATAATAAATAAATAAATCTTTAAAAAAAGAAAGAAAGAAAACAAAAAAGAAAGAAATGAAGGATCCAAAGAGTGGTTGTTCAATCAAAACATCTCTGAGATCCCATCTTATACCTGTAAGAATGGCCAAGATCAAAAACACTGATGACAGCTTATGCTGGAGAGGTTGTGGAGTAAAGGAAACTCTCCTCCATTGCTGGTGAGAATGCAAACTGATGAAACCCCTTTGGATGTCAGTGTGGCGATTTCTCAGAAAATTAGGAAACAACCTTTCTCAAGACCCAGTCATACCACTTTTGGGTATATACCCAAGGATGCTCAATCATGCCACAATGACATGTGCTCAACTATGTTCCTAGCAGCTTTGTTTGTCATAGCCAGAATCCGAAAATGGCCTAAATGCCCCTCTACTGAAGAATGGATAAGAAAAATGTGTACATTTACACAATTGAGTACTACACAGTGGAAAGAAATAATGACATCTTGAAACTTGCAGGCAAATGTATAGATCTAGAAAACATCATATTGAGTGAGATAACCCAGACCCAGAAAGACAAATATAATATGTACTCACTCATAAGTGGCTTTGGACATAAAGCAAAGAAAACCGGCCTACAATTCACAATCCCAGAGAACCTAGACAACAAAGAGGACCCTAAGAGAGACAAACATGGATCTAATGTACATGGGAAGTAGAAAAAGACAAGATCTCCTGAGTAAACTGAGAGCATGGACACTATGGGAGAGGAAGGGAAGGAAGCGGAGAGAAATATATAACTCAATAAAAACAATTTCTAAAAAAAGGTTGCTCCATGTGGGAGCCTGGGATGCCAGGACTTTCCCCCTGAGGTTAGGAGGGACTTCTATGGATACACCCAAGGCTAGGACTGCATAACTCCAAACCCAATTGCTCAAAGTCCTGGAGCAGCCTCTTGAGGCTCCTCCTTCTTTCCCTCCCTCCCTCCCATCCCAGTCCTGAGCCGGTACAGTCTCCAGCCTGTCCTGCTGCTGTCCCCCTGTGATCACAACCACACTTCTCTGCACAGAGTTAGCTGTAAGGACAAGGAAGCAGAGGCGCCTTACCTGTGTGTGGTGCACAGCTTTTCCTCTTAGTTCAGAGCCAGTGTGTGTGTGTGTGTGTGTGTGTGTGTGTGTGTGTGTGTTTGTGTCTGCGTGCGTGTGTGTTCTGTCCTAGCAAGCTTTGGGAGCCTGAACAAGTCGCTCCTCTCTGGGCCTCGCGCCTCTCGTCTGAAAGGATGCTCAGTAAAGGCTCTTCCAGAGCTTATCTCTTACCTACAAGCAGGAGCCAGCCAGATGGCAACTAGTAAACAAGGGAAATGCTTCCAGAACCAGGAGCCCAAGGAACGTGGGGAGAACCTCTCTCCTCGGTTTCCCATGTAGATCTAGGGGGAGGAGCCAGAGACAGTACAGTAGAGTCAAGGGAGCTCAGGAGGAGCGCTGGCCCAGAAGGCCCAGGCCCTGGGTTCTAGCCAGTAATAACTACACAGTGTACGTTCAGATCTGATTACATTCTTGACTGTGTGGGATGGGGAGGCCCGGGAAATGCTGCTTAGGTCGCTGCTCTCGCACCAACACCCCTAACTCATATAAAACCATAACCAACTGTTTTCCTCTCTCTCTCTCTCTCTCTCTCTCTCTCTCTGCATGTGTGTGTGTCTCTTCCACTAGTAAAATAGTCTTACCTCCTTCAACATCTATTTCTCCGTGTGCAGAAATGACGTGAAAAGTTAATGTCCGTACCAGCCCCTCCCTCCTTCTCCCTGGTAGGAGCCAACAGTCACTCACCAGGGCAGGCAGCCCTGTTCAACCCGGCCCTCCAGCCCTTCCCTCTCCACCCCAGGGCCATGTGGCTTCAGGTTTTTTCCTGTCCTCTTGACTCAGAACAGGGGGTTTCAGCAATGACCTCAGGGGGTGACTCAACCTGCTCTGCTGGGTGCCCCCCTTTAGGTCAGGGAAGCTTAGTGTCCTGGGTTAGTAACAGAGTCTACCATGGGTGCACTCCCACCCCCTCCCAGAGGAATGAAGGGAGGGTGATGTCGTGATCTAGAGGCAGAGCTTCAAAGCTTGGTGGAGGCAGAGGTTGGCCAGCCCTATTCCTAGGCCTATATAATCACACCAAGCCTTCCCCACCCATTCCGCCCCACCCACCCCACCCATTCCACCCCACCAGTCCCACCCCACCCGTCCCACCCCACCAAACCAGCTTTTGCTTTTCCTTCTTTTCCAGCTTGCACAAAGGCATAGTTGTCCACTTGTCCCAAGGCTAGGAGGCCAAGTGTCTTTGGTTTCTCCTTGTCCCCATTCCATCTAGGCTGGCCCATGCCTAAAACAAGTACAGGTCAGCTCCACCCACTTCCCATCTCTCCACCCATCCTTTAGGCTCCCAACCTCCCAGCATCCCTTACCCCTCAAAGCCTTTAGGAGCACCCCTT